CCCACGCAGCCCCCGGGCACCCCCTCGGAGCCACACCACTCCAGCCGAGGGGTCCCCACAACCGAGAGCCCCCCGACGCGACCCAGCACCATGGCAGAAACCCTGGGGTCCACGCCGGCTCTGACAAGCTCTCCTGCCACCTCCGAGCATCCTCGCGTCTCGGCTGCCACCACGCCACAGCACACGGGCCAGGACAGCCCGAAGGTGGGGATGCGGTGGGGCACCACGGGCTGTGGGACCACGAGGAGGTTGGACTCATCTCACGACCCCCGACGGTTCGTTGATACCACCACTGTGTTTTTTCCCTTCCAGCCCATCACGTGCCACAATGTCAAAGAAGTGAGCGACACTGGAGCCATCTGCTTGCAGCTCAACGAATCCAACACTTGCGTGAGTTGCAGTCCGGGGTGGCCACGCGTCTCCGACGGGGGGGACATGCAGGAGAGGGGGGAGCTGCAAGCAAACAGCCCAGGGCAGGTTCCTTGCGGTGATGGGGTCACCAACCGTACCGGGGGGGTCAGTTTGGGGTGGGATCCCTGGGGCAGAGCAGCTGAGCTGTGCCAAACTGATGGAGGTGGGGCTGATCACAGCAGTCCCAGGAGGATCCCAAAGGGATGGCCACGGCAGTCCCAGGGGAAATGCAACCTCCTGGCTGCATAAAACCTGCTTTCATGATTAAGCTCTGGGGTCAGTTTAGCTTCTGAAGGATCTCCCACCATGTTTAACAGGAAATTGCCTTTGTTCTTCTTCTTCCTCTTCCCTGTTGGGAAGGCGAGCGCCTTTTTTAGTCTTGCCAACTGCCCTAGGAAAGAAATCAGGGCATCTGAAGGAACACGGGCTGATCAGCGTCCCCATCTGCACCGACTCCTAAGGGAACGCCGGGCTCTCCGTAACTGCCCTGGGCCATGTGCACCACAAATGCAGCATTTGTTAACAGCCGGAGAGGGTCGGGCTGAGGCACTGGTGTGGGAGGGAGGAAAGAAATCTCTGGCGCAGGAGGTACAACCTGCAGCAGAGGCCAGAGCTGTTGGATCTCGTGCGACAGCGGGTTTGGCAATGCCCTGGGTATAGAATGACCGCGATTAATTTTACTTGTGCTGGTCAGCCTTACTGCCACCGCTTTAGAGGAGTGAATTCTTACTTGGCGTCTCTCTGCAAATTGGCACGTAGACGGCGTTTAGACTCACTCCTGTTTACAGGGACTGCACTTTGGCGAGAATTCACATGGAAACTCCTCCGGGAGCGCGTGACTCTGATCCCAGATGCCATCTAGTGGGCAACGGCCCCTCCTGGGCACGGGGTTTGTGCACGTTATGCACACTTTGCATACCTGCACACACATCAGTGGATGTGTATATGACATAGAGAATATCCTACAGAGCCGTATCCAACTGCACAGACTCTCAACCCTCCCTCCACGTGAACCGAGCCAAACGGCCCCGCTTCCAGCCCTGTTTTTCTGGGAGCTCTGGCCCTGCAGCAAACCTCTCCCTCGCCTCCACCTCAACTAATCACCCAGTGGGAAAAACCAGCTCAGGCGCAGCAGCCGCTGGACCTGGGAACCAGATAAGCGCGTCTGCGAGGAGAGCAGATAGGAGGGACCGTGCCGCGTCTCGCTTTCCTGCTGGCCTTTCCCAAAGCAAATGAGCAATACGCTGGCACCCAGCGCTGCTAATTGCAAAGGGAAATTCTGACACTCCGATGAGTTCTTTCCACAGCAGAGAAAGGAAAATACACACTTGGGTCTCTTGTTCCATCTTGGCCTTTCTCACCCCAAGCCAAGCTCTATAGAAACAGCTGAAAATGATTTGTTTGTTATTCTCCCATGGATAAGTTTCTGCATTTTTCTGTGCTAAGAGGATGTGGCGATGGGAGCGCGATGCTGAGGCAATTCTACGGCAAAGAGAGGAAGGTGCTGAGCTGCCTGGCTCTGCACCGCGCTGCCAGACAAGAGGGTTTTCTCCTCTTTCGCAGCCCCACGTCGGTGGGTACCTCCGGGGAGTGAGCGGAGGGAAGGGGCAGGACCCGGGATTCAGCTGGAGCCCGTCTCTGTCTCCACGGGGTGGGCACAGCCACGATGTCCCCAGCTGGGAGGATGTTAGGGAAGCTGATAATGTCTTTCAGCAACCGTGGGCTCTGTCTCCAAGCCTGCCTGTGGCTGAAAATAGACCCGAGGAGAAAGCCTATCCTGTCTGACACAGAAATTGGCCCGCAGAGGGGAAAGGCTGCAGGTCCTCACTCCTTTTCCTCTTCCACCCAAGAGTCGGTTCAGCTCTAAAATGTGAGAAATTTGTATTTTTTTGCCTAGCCTTTGATCAGCAACCTAGCAAAAACATTGAAGACATTTCCTAAACAGGAAGGCTCAATGCTTCTTTGTTATTTCCCTCCTTTCCCAGCCCCTGCCTGGGACTCTGAAACAATAGGGCTCTTCAGGCGGCTGTTTCAGTCCAAAAATTGGAGAGACTCGCCATGCAATTCAGACCCTAAGTTTAGCTTTGTTTAAATGCCATTTGCAAGAGTTGCTAAAGATATCTCCATTTAATTTAATCTCATTAAGACGCAAGAAAGAAGCATCTCCCTTGTCTAGGTGTTGGTGTTGGGTGCAGCGGGAGGCAAAGGGCTGACACCCGGTCCAGCGCCGTTTGTCACTTGTTCTTGCTTCTGCTCAGCCTCGCACAGCACAGATGAGCCACCAAAGCACGAAGGGTGAATGCACAACGCTACAAGCAGCAGCAGCAGCAGCATAGCCGGGATGGAGAATTAGTCGGTTTGGTTGGTTCAGGGGCTGACTGTTTGAAAATTTTGCAGAAACATTTTTTAGAGATGAAGGGATCGGACTTATGGAGTGCAATATGTGAAGAGAGCGCCCACCGCGTCCCCTCCCCCTGCCAGATTAAACTCGCTAAATCCGAGGTGGACCGCGACTGCATGCTGCTCATCCTCGTTGGCGAGAGAGGTCAGTTCAGCTCATTCCTTTGGCTGTCGTTGATACTGCTCTGGAGCCCCCAACATAGGAGAGACATGGACCTGGTGGAGCAGGGCCAGAGGAGGCCCCGGAGATGCTGGGAGGGCTGGAGCCCCTCTGCTGGGAGGACAGGCTGGGAGAGTTGGGGGGGTTCAGCCTGGAGAGGAGAAGGCGAAAAAGGGGAGACCTCAGAGCCCCTTCCAGTGCCTGAAGGGGCTCCAGGAGAGCTGGGGAGGGACTTGGTACAAGAGCGTGTAGTGATGAGGGGGATGAGGGGGAATGGCTTCAAACTGGAAGAAGGGAGATTTAGATTAAATATTAGGAAGAAATATTTCCCTGTGAGGGTGGTGAGCCCCTGGCGCAGGGTGCCCCGAGAAGCTGTGGCCGCCCCATCCCTGGAGGTGGTCAAGGCCAGGTTGGACGGGGCTTGGAGCAACCTGGGCTGGGGGGAGGTGTCCCTGCCCAGGGCAGGGGGGTGGAACAAGATGGTCTTTAAGGTCCCTTCCCACCCAAACCCTTCTGTGATTCTATGATTCTATGAACTACTGCTCTTTCTGGTGGGTCTTGCTAGATCCACGGAGCCACGGCATTGCCTCCAGAGCAGCGAAGGGGCTCACAGCTCCTCCGTGTTCAGGCACGGCCAGGCTCTTCCATGCTGGCATTGCCTGCAGTGTGACCCTCTATGTAACATGCCTCTCCTGTTTTAAACCTTGCAGATCCTGCTACAGACATGCTCCAGGAGTCTCACTGGGAAAAGGTAAATTCCTTTAGCAAACTCGTCTGCAAAAAGTAGGTAGCCTGAGTGGCCGGAGAAAGGAGATTTTTAGATGGTCGGTTGAGGCTGGGGCAGAGGGCTGAGACCTGAACCGGCCTCCGTCTTGGAGGCCTTTGTTGAGCGTTGGCACATGAGCTGGTTGGAGCCGAGCACCAGCAAGGCAACAGTGCACCGTCAGGGAACTAATTCACCCACTGAAGGCAGAAATGCTTGAAATAGATACTGTCAAATTTGGTAGTATTTTCTTTAAAAAGTCCCGGGTCCCAACAATGACTCTTAGGACGCAACTGGCCCTCTGCTTCTTCGCAGTACCACGCTGACAGTAATTAATTCCTCCTCTCAGCACCCCAGTCAGGCTGCCATCGGCTCGTAAAGCCGAGCACCGGGTACCCGTATAAATGGCAGTCAGCAGAGCCGCAGCAGCGGAGCGCAGGGAGATTGCAGCCCTGCAGACGCACGCTCTAAATCCCAGGGCGTGAGCACCCTGGTCCAAGGGACAAAACTTCCCTGTGGCACAGGAGACGCCGGGGTGGAAATGCGACCGTGAGGATGGGAGAGCTCACAGGGCAAGTGCAAAGCTCAGGAGTTCGGGTAGCAAAGCCCAGCTTTGTTTACGTGAAGTTTAACAAGGAGGTGAAGAGCAGCATTGTTTTAAGCCCGGTGCCTGTTCAGCAGATGCACATGTTTCCTGTTTGTCAGAGTCCTGGTTCTCTTTGGTGTTTTTTTTCCAGTTTGGAATAAAATCCCTTAAACGGGGGAGCGTGAGGAACCATCAGGACTTTTCCCAGAAGACCCTGATCGCCTTGGTCACATCTGGACTCCTGCTGGCGTTCCTGGGCTTGGCCGGATACTTCCTGATGAAGCGACGGAGCTGGAGCCCGGCGGGAGAGCGGCTGGTTAGTGCGTACA